AGACTATAAACAAGCAATCCAAAGGGAATAGAGGGTAGGTATTACTTTATGACTGCAATTAAGTCTTCTCTCCCAAGGTTGTCAAGACAGGTTGAGCAGAGGCCTGAGAAAGTTGCTCACTTTCCCAGGCAGGTTTGCTGGTTAGCAAGCAAGTAATGCCATCCCTGGTTAGCTCAAGGTACAGTAGGCTATTATCCCTTGCTTTGTCAGAACATATGCTTTGTACACACATAACTCCACCTTCACACACACACACACACACACACACACACACACACACACACACATAGTGGTTGCTAGTATGGGGAAAGTGTGAGATTGAATATTACTGGTATGAGGGGAAAAAACTCTCAGAGGACAATTTATTATGGCTCAGAGTTGGTCAAATGCTTAGGGAATGAATTAAGAGGACATTTAGCCAACAAATACCAGGTGTAGCTTTCACATAATATAATTTTCATATCTACTGTACAAAACCATGTTGATTTATAAATTTTGCTTCATGACAAAATTTGGGAGATACAAAAGAAATAGCATTGTTCCTTCTCTTTAATGGTTGTCAATTGAGGAGAAAGGATAATGAATGTATATGTATATTATTGGATGAATGAATGATGTAACACATTTTTAAAAATGAAGACCCAAGATGAACAGATTAGACATCGTTTTTTTAAATAAAAAATTTTATTTATTTTCAGACAGAAAAATCAATGTGTGGTTGCCTCTTGCACGCCCCCTACTGGGGACCTGACCTGCAACTCAGGTATATGTTCTGATTGGGAATCAGTGGGTGACCCTTTGGTTCACAGGTCCGCGCTCAATCACTGAGGCACACCGGCTAGGGCTAGACAATAATTTTGACAGGACTTCAATGCAGAAGATTTTCTGTGTAGAGTGGAATGGGTAGGAGAAGTGGCATTTGAATTAAGCCTTAAAGGACAAATTTGGAGAGCAGAGGAGAAAAACCATTTCAGGGGGAAAACCATTTTAAGCTAGAGGCTGATCCGTAGAAGCCTATGCGAAGTGTGCCGTCTGGTTGGGATACTGCACTGTCCTGGATCGCGATAACACCTTGGGTGCAGAATACAGTGGAAGTGGCTTGTGAGACCCAAATAATGTCATGGTAAAGTTTGTGGGCTTGGGTTCAAACCCCAGCTCTGCCATTATATGTATAACTCAGGAAAAGTAACAATTTCCCTGAATCACATTTTTCTATAAAATTGGGTAGTAAAAGTGTCTACTTTGTTGATTAGTTTGAGGATTAAGTGAAATAATCCACATTAAACTCTCTGTGCAATGCTTAGCATACAGAAAGCACCCAATAAATAATTGCCATTAAACTATGGCAGTTGCTGAAGGTCAAAGGGAACTGTAATTTTTCAAACATGTTAGTACTCACCCTTTTTAGTCATTCCCTTGTGACCTAAAAATCTCTTCTCAGACTATGACTTCTTGCCACCCTTGTCCCGGGTTCAGGCTGGGCTACCCCCATTACAGAGACCCACTCCACGAACTCCAATGGTTGAACGCTCTGAGGTCCAGCTCGCCAGACTAAACATCATGTGTCAGGACTTTGGAGATCTACTCTGAGTGATATGACTGGCAAGTTCCCTGTGTCTTTGGTTATCCAGCTCTTGAATTTATAAAATGGACTGTAGTGCTGATACAAGGAGAGAATCAAGATCGCTGCGCCGCCATTTTCCACTGCCTGAAAGCTGTATAATGCCAAGTAGAATAATGTTTCTCTTTGTGCACCTGCCTGCATGTGTGCTGTCTCTACTAGAAATTTTTAAAAGAAGAGAATAATAAATGACAGTGGGAATATTCAGAAAAGCCCACAAGATATCCACTTAAAGAAAAGATTTGTAGGTGAGGAAACTGAAGCCTAGATGGCTGACAGAACGTGTCAAGGTCACCCCGAGCAGGAGGCCCCCCGTGCAAAGTGGAAGCCCCCTTGTCCATCAGACTAATCCATCTTGCTGATTTATAGAAATATTAACAGCTTAATTTTCCCAATGATAAAGATCTTCAGTTAGGACAGAGAGTAACTCTTATTATTGGATCCAGAGCTAATTATGCCAACTGAAGATTGTGTATGGGACATTTGTTATGCAGAGTGCTGCCCTCCATAAATAGAGAGATCCCACGAACTGCGTTCCCCTCCCTGGCACTGTCAATGCATCTAACTTGCCAGGAGGGCCTCCCACCAGCCTACATACATGGGCTGCTCCTTTGATGGGCCTGTCATGGCTGTTTGATAGCCATGAAACATCATTTGAGGGAGGGGTTACTGTCTCTTTGTTGTTGGTCTGCTCTCATGCCATGAACACAGAGAGGTTTTGCTCAGGCCGAGCCAGTGCACTGCTGGTTGCCAGGGCCGATGTGTGCTGACGGCCACTGTTTCCCAGCAGTGTCGGGGGGTGTCTTTCTCTTCATATCTTCTCCTCAAAGCAATTCTCCCAGGACAGCTTTGTGTGTGCTCCTCTGCGGGGTGGAGCAGGTGGTGGCCTGGGCCAGATAGGTTGCACCTTCTCCCCCTGTGTCTGAGTCACTGGAATCTGATTTCCAGAGCAACTGGAGCTTGGGATGCACCCCCAGGCATCCTCTGGAGGTGTCTACTCTGTCCTGTGCTGTTGGTGGGCCTAGAAAAGTCCCTTGGGAAGCTTATCAGATGGTCTGATGAAAATGGCGGGAGCCTGTCTCCCACAGCCAGATTGTTTTTTTCATCATCATCTTTGCCCTTGGGTTTCTCTTTTAAGAAAAACATACTCCTTTCTAAAGAAGAATGGACTTTTACCACATGGTTCAATGGAGCCTCACTATAAATACCCCTTCTCTTAATTCTCCTGTGGCAACTTCTTTGTTTGCTTTGAACCCAGGTCAGACCAGGTGGTTTTATAACCTGCCTCGTGTCCCCCCATCCCTACCTTCTCACCCCCATGGTCTCCCCTGACACTTCTGATTCTCAGAGGGCAGCCAGACAGTGTTCCCAGAATGGGTTGGGCCAGGTCAGCTTCTGAAGCTACCCGGACACCTAAGGAACCTGAGTAGAAAAGATCCCCCTGAGAGAAACTGCCCAGGCCTGAATTCTGGGAGAATTTGACGCAACAAACAAGTACATAACCACGAGCAAGTACTGAGAATTTGCTGTTGGTCAGGCCAGAGGTCAGCAGTTTCCTGGGGTTGTATAATTGGATGTTCACAAAATTCTAAGCAATCGTTTCTTCTCTTACTACCACTTTACATAGTGAAGACTCTAAAGGGCTAACTGAGTTGCCTGAAACCACAAAGTTTGTGGTAGAGTCAAAATCTGGTCACCAGTCCTGTGGGGCTCTAGAAGCCATAACCCTGACCAGCTGGTTTTCCTGATTTAGTTCTGGTGTGAGGAGGCTGCTGCCAATTTTAAGAATAGACTGTGCCTCGATATAAATAAAAGACAAATAAGGGTGTGTCCATTTCATGGACACATTCTTTCAAAATGCAAAGACAAGAGGTCACCCTCATGACTTTGATAGGAAACAGAAGGCAGGTTATAAAGTTTTTTGGGTAATTCTAGGTATTTGGACACCTGTTCAGTTATTCTGAGATTCTGTGGTGGGGGTATGAGGAACATGGTGGGTGTGAGCTCATTTTTACAAAAACCATTTCCTGAGAGCTTGACTTCAGGAAATGCTGGAGCATTAAAAATACCAGTTGTGTGGGAGCGGTGGTGGAAGCATGACTCACGTCAACAACTGTATCCATGGGTCACAAAGGACTTGGCGAACACAGGAGAGGTTCGTACAAGATTGTGTTTGTGGGTGGCTCATTATGAACTTTTTAATAGGTTTAGCAGCATGGTCAAATTTTGAGAAAGGTGACATTTAAGGTTCTCCATGGAAATTGTGACATTTGACTCATCCATTCAAACAATGAGTCACAGACATTAATTGTTCACCTACTAGGTGCATAGCCTTGTATCACATGCTTCAGGGTAATGCAAGAGGAATAAAGCGTGGTCCTTGCCCTTTAGTGCAGAGTTTATGAATTGGTAGCAGTGAAACAGGCTGCTTTCTTTAATCCTTTGCTCCTTAAAGAAAGACATTTTGTCTTGTTTCCCAGCACAGATGATTTCCAAAAACCTGGTCTGGTGACTCTCAGGCCTTCTGGTTAGGAAGGAGCACTTACCAGGGGGAAAGGACCAGGAGCTCGGCCTGGCTCAGGCACTTTTTCGTCACTGTAGAACGAGGCCGAGGAGAGGGACTGGGAATTGTTAAACGACTGCTCGTGTTCTGTACCTTTGAAATGTGACGAGGTTTTTTGGCTTTGTTTAATAGTTTAATAACACATTTCATATAGAATATGATGATGACTTGTGAAACCACCACGCAACCTAAGTACCAGACTAGTGTCAATAACTTGCATCTCTCTGTGCGTTCCTCTTCTAGACTGACACCCACCCAGAGGTACCTCTATGTTGAATTAACATTTACAGATAGAGTGTGGGCATCTGCTGATCTGTATGTGATGATGACGCTGTGAGTAAGGAAAAGCAGGTGTATTCATAGGGAGGTAGCTTGGTGTTGTTAAAAAACAAAATTGAACTGAGTCAATTTGAAAGATCTTATTGGCTTTATTTAATAATTCATACATTGGGCAGCCTCTCATCCAGCAGATAGAAAGAAAATCTGAGAAGCTGTACACAATGAAAAGGAGTGAGCACAAGGAAGTCATATCAGGCAAAAAGCAGATTGGCTGTGGCAAGGTCACCTTCTTGTAGAGGATGGAGGGAGCCTGTCAGGTAGATCACCTCACTAGTGCTGACCATGGAATTCCCAATTGACTGGTGTAAGGTTCCATTTCTGAAAAATATCAAAACTGTAATTAAATCAAGTGTTGGTTTGTTGACATGGGGCTTAGCATAAGTTACTCCATTTTGGGCCTGTTGTCTCATTTTTAAGAGTGTCAGGGTTGATTGCACTACTACTGATAGATCAGTGACTGTGCTTGTTTCCATGCAGGGGCACTACCACCAGCAAATTCTATTTTTCTTGAAGAGGCTGCAGAACACAAGGTTATGGAACATCAGTGGAACTGGTTTCAACTCTAACCTCCACTGGTATGAACCAACTGTATGACCTCAGGCTTGTAAGTTAACCTCTTTGAGCCTCAGTTTCTTCATCTTCAAAACACAGATGATGCAAGTAATGCCATCTACTTAGTCATGATTAGAATTGAAGAACTAAATGCATGGAAACTGCTTGGCACATAATTAATACTCATTTAAAAGTGGCCAAATTCAGCTCAAAATAACAACAAAAAAACTCTTTTAAAAAACTGTACAGTGTCCTAGCCATCACTAAGGAAATATGTAGAGTCTAAATTTAGTAATCTATAATATATTTACTTTTGCTTTTTACTTTCCTCTCTTATGGTCTTTTTTACTTTTCATCATTGGGTCTTGACATGTTTGCCAATATTGTATATAGGTAATCAAGGAAAAAGTAATTCGAAGAGTAGCTATTTTAAGCAAGATGTGATATGATGGAATTCTAGTTTAAAAGTATAAATGGCTTAGAGTGAGCCAAACTAGTGCAAATTAAATGTAATCATAAGGGTTGATTTTAATCATGTCTCCGTGTTGGTGGTACCTAGTTAACAAAATTTTGGTAGTTTAACAAATTTATAAATTTTTTCAATTGCATTAATTTTTAAAACTTACAGGTACCAGTGCATAAGAATTAAACATATTTTTTAAAGTCTTATTTTAGCCCTAGTAAACAATGCTATTTCTCTCTTAGAAAAACTTTGTCTCTGAATAGTATATATAAATATAGGTGTACACATTTATAGATAGGTAGGTGTACATGTGCATATGTGTGTTCACTATGTTTTGAAGGTCTTTTTTTATCAGATTTGACAGAGAAAGAGGTATTTAACTGGGAACTGCTGCCTATGAATTACCTATAAAAAATCTTAAGTTTTATTTTATTATTATTTTTTTATTTCAGAGAGAGGGGAAGAGATGGAGAAAGAGAGCGAGAGAAACATCCATGTAAGAGAAAAACATTGACCAGTTTCCTCTCATACATGCCCTGACCGGGGACCAAACCCACAACTTAAACATATGCTCTACCTGGGAATAGAACCCAAGACTTTCCTTTTGTGCAATGAGGCCCAACTGAGACACACCAGTCAGGGTGAGCTCATTCATTCAATAAAATGTTCAACAAATATTTATTGCATAGGTATTATGAAACTAATATTTTTTAGGGTCTTGAAGGAAGTCATAAATGCCAGGACACATGAAACTGAAGATGTCTTATTTTTTCCCATGAGATAGTTTTCAAGTTGGATTTTAGTGGTACAGTCAATACATTTATGAACTCTCTATTCGAATAGAAATTTATAATAGGAAAATTAGAAATTTAGGAATAGAGCAACAAATTTTCTTAACAGATAAAGAATATACCCTAGATGGGATTAAATGTATTAGGCACCTGTCATGGGTGGCAGGCACTTCACACGCGATATCTCAGTTACTCCTATAACTCTGGGAGGTGAGTCTTCATATCCTTGTCCTACTGATGAAGGAGAAACTGGGGTTCCAAGAGATGGTGGGGTTTGCCCTTGATTTCAAGCTCGTAAGACACACCATCCATATAAAGTGACCTTCAATTCTTATTCCCAAATCTCTTTGCTCTTATTAGAAATGTTTCATTTCAAATCAGCGAGAAAACAAAGACAACCATTCTCATATGTGTTAAATATTATCTTGGAAGTATTTTATAAGAGATTCATATTTCATTTAATATAAACAAAAGTCTAAAATTATATTGACTAATCTTAGAGAAGAAATATGAAGAGGTGTATTGTTGTCCTTTAAAATAATGATGATAAATTGGAAAGATATCCATTTATGAAATTAAATTAAAGGTTCAACATAATACAAATAAAAATATTAATTGTACTTTGAACTTAGTAATAATAATTTTTATTGCATTAGTACATATCATTTATTGAACACTTGTTATGTGGCAGGTATTGTTCTACAGTGTTTAATAATTGCCTCATACAATAAATACCTCACTTAATCTTTACACAAAGCAGATTGGTATTTTTATTTTATTGTTTTACAAATAAAGAGACTGAGACCCAGGGAGGGTAAGTAACTTTCCCAAGTTCACACAACAACTAGTAAATTGCTGAGCCAGGGTTCTAACCCAGGCCATCGGGCCCCAGTGCCATACACTGAACACTACTGAGCGCAGCTGGGAACATTAACTGGTATTTTGCAAAGTGGAACCTTAAAGCGGAGATGAGTCTTCTTCAAATAAGCATGCAGATAAATAGGATAGCATCATGCAGAAATAAGCATATTATATTTAAGGATATAATAGCAAGAGATATCTCAAAAGATGATGAAGAATTATTTAATACACATTATTAGGTTACTTAGCATTGTTTTGAAGGATTAATTTTATACCCAAATTTCATGCCCCATGATCAAAATAAAATTTGGATGGCTAAAATGATAGATTCTAGAAACATAGCAGAAAATGTAAATTATTTTCCATCAGAAGTCTGGAGAAACTATTATTATTTTTTGCTTTGAAGTAAAAAAAGAAATCACAAAGGAAAAGACTGGCAGTTTTGACTACATAAAAAATTGTAAACTTATGTACAACAATAAGAACAAAATAACTTAGGCCAGCAGATGTGAAAGGATCACATTTGACATGACAGACAGAGACTGTCACCTGTGCTGAAAGTCCTCAAAGGAGAAGTGAAATCCATGGGCCAGCTCCTCTCCTTGTGAGGGGCTGTGGGCACAGAAAGACCCACATCCAGGCAAGAGCAGGCTTGGTGCTGTGGGGACTGCCTGGGCTCTTTCCACGGCATGCTGCTTGTGCACAGGGAGAAGGGGGCTGACCTGATGTTTGCCTGAGTCGCCAGGCTCTGGGACCGGAGAAGTGAAATAATCCTAGGGTAGGGCAGGATGTGGTCACCTACACATTTTGTCTTTCTAGGAGGGTCCTTTACTCCAGCAGAGGAAATGGGAGGAAGGAGGATATAGCCCTGGATGTAGAAAGAATTGGAAGAGCTACCCTAGAAAATCAACCTCAGTGACAAGGAGAAAAACTAGTTCTATAGGCAAAAAAGACCTATTGGAAAAAACCGAAGGTCTGAAGCAGGAGACACAGAATTCCATGGCAGGTGGATTTTTCTTAGCTGTGAGTAACTTCTTAAATGCTGGTGACAAGGTAGTGATTTCTAATGACAGTCATCCTAGGCATCAGGAGGCCATGCAGGACTTGGAGGAAAATAGACATTGTGAGGCACCTTGTAAAACTCCACATTAAGAAGATGTGAAAAAGTAGTTCACACAACGGCAATGACCGTCAGCAAAGGAACACAGACTGCTGATCACCACAAGTAACCCAGAACATTAAAGCTGAAGCAACATTGAAAATGACTTTATGTTTAGTAAACCAGCCTCTTCCCACTGCTTCACGCAGGCAGAGAATTTTGGATTTCATTCACTGTTCTCCTGTACCCAAGAGAGTGGTCAATCATAGCAGAAACTCAATAAGTACTTGTTAAATGTAAAAGATGACACCTCACTGTCTTGTTCGTGAGAAAGACTTAATAATTCAAGCACTGCGGATGGCATACTAAATTGGTTTAACACTTTGGGAAAAAAAACAAATTAGGGGTGTTTCACTTTACATGCACGTGTTCAAGTCTTTTGAACCCATCAGTGTGCCCTTGGGGATTTATTCCAAGAAAATGATTGAACATCAAAACAAACCTAAATGTGTGAACTTCTATAATACTAGCACAGAGTCAAAAGCAGAAAGGAGGTTAATAAACTACATATATCCTATCAATAAAGTATTACTGATCCACTTAAAATAATAAATAATACCATAGAAATGTAGAGATTTTATAATGTTAAATGAATAAAATGTAATGCCCCAGGCCCTTTATTGAGGCACATCTTCCTGCTGCTTTGAATTCCGCTGCTCTGGGGCAGACCCCGCAGACACCCTAGGAAGCTTCCAGTGTCCACTCGAGGCTGCTGACACTAGGTGTGCTTCCTGCTAGTGCCCTGAAATCCCACCATGTCAGCTCCCAACTTAGTGCCAAGTCTCCTACACTGGTCCCCGAACTGTGCAACCTTCTCTTCTCTGCTGGGTCAGAAGACATTAAGGAGTAAGGATGCTATGTTTATCTTTTTGTCCTTATGCCATGCTCCAAATCATCGCATCCCTCCCAACACTGTTTGACCAGAAGTATGTATGTGTCCAACCCTAACTTGGCTAAGATTTCCTTAGACCTTGCAGTTCTTCCTGCGAACTGACCTCTCAGCGGGTCTGACTCTACACATGCCCCATTGTGTCTGAATCCTACAAAACTACTTAGGAGCAGAGTAGGACCACTGATATGGAAGTATTTTTATTAAGTAATTAGACATCATTTTTATTGGAACAATGTTTTAATATTTTATACTTATATTTTAATGTAAACTATAAAAAATGAGTAATGAATATTAGTAATTTGTTGACAATTTTGAGTTATCATTTTGTACTTTACTCTTGTATTTTTAAATTTAATTTTAAAAGTTACTGATATAAGTCATATTTGAAACCATTCAAAGGTTTATAAAGAAAAAGTTAATAATCTTTCCTTATTTCATCCAACCCATTTTTAATTCTCTGAAAAACAAAAGATTTTCATGCTTATTCAAATAAACCTAAATGCATGTCACATAAACCTAGACACATAAATTTGAAACTTGCTTTTTTCACTCATTAATTTATCTGGACATCTCTTCTTATCAATTAATGCAGATCCCACCAATTATATTTATATTAGCATAATATTCTGGAAAATAAATGGCTCATAGTCAGTTCAACTGTTTCCCTGTTTTTAGACAAGCAACCTAGGTTACAATTATTTAAAAATGCTAAATAAAGCCCTGGCTGGTGTAGCTCAGTGGATTGAGTGTGGTCTGTGAACCAAAGGGTCACAGTTCGATTCCCAGTCAGGGCACATGCCTGGGTTGTGGGCCCAGTCCCCAGTGGGGGCCATGTGAAAGGCAACCACACATTGATGTTTCTCTTCCTCTCTTTCTCCTTCCCTTTCCCTCTCTCTAAAAATAAAAAAAGAAATAAAATATTAAAAATGCTAAATAAATACTTTATGTTTGCACACACATATAAATACTTTTAATATATAATTACAAACACACACTCACAGAACATTTTGGAACTTTTCTCTCAAATATAATATTAACATTGCTTTACTATGTGTTTTATATTTCAAGATATGTTTCTATGTTTCCCAAAATGAGATGGCAGTTTACAAACTCATTAGCTGCATACTGAGTGGGCACCTCTTCGTGTTCTTACCTCTTCACAAAATTGAACATATCTTAATTTTCGTCAATTTGATGAGTAAATGAATCTCACCATTATTTTAGTCAACATTTCCTCATATATATTGTTAGGTTGTGTGTATTCCCATTAGTTTATTGTTCTTTGAATTTCTTTTTTGGTGACATCGTTTAATATTTTCTCATTTTTCCATTGAGATGTTAGCCCTTTGCTTATTAATTTGTAGGAGTTTTTTAAATCATATTATACAGTCTGTGGTAGAGGGGAGGAAAAACTATTTTCCCTCTACCCATCTTATGTTCATTGACTGAGGTCTCATAAATTAAGCTGACAGAAGACGGGTTAACAAGAGAAAAACAAATATGCAATAAACATGTACATTGCACATATGCATGGAAGTACTCAAGGAATAACTCAAAGGGATTGTTAGAACTCAGCCTTACATAGCATCTTAGCAAAGAACAATACGTTTTCACAGAAGTGACAAGCAAAGAAAAAGGAATGAGTTTCTAGGTCGCAAATTGTGGGAAGGTAAATGAATGGAGGGAAGTCCTGGGAGATGAGAGCTGGTTAGTAAAGGTTGTTTTATACATTTCTCCAGTGCTGTCTCTGAGCTGATGCAGCTCCAGAGTTGTTTCAAGTGATCAACTTCTGTCCTTCATGGGAGAAAAGAGAGGGATGCCTTTACAAATTTGTGTTCTGCTTTCACACAAATTTGCGTGAAAATAAATAGGGGAAGGGCAAAGCACTGTCTTGTAGCTATCTGCTGGTTTTCAATTGCCTTTAGCTCCAAATAATACTATGCCATAGAGGCATATTTTGATGTGGAATGTTCTGCTACCCTTCATTTGTTTACCTTTTAACCTTGTTTTATGGTGTCATTTGTTCTTGGAAAAACTTAGAATACACGTAGTTAAGTATATTTATCATTTCCTTAATGATTTATGAGGTCCTATTTTGCTTTTAGGAAGACCTTTCTTCCCTACATTATACAAATTGTTTTCTAAATTTTCTGGGTTTTTTATTGTTTACTTTGAAATTGTTTTCTAGAAATCCAGCCTCAATTTTCCTTTTTGCCTTTCACCCTGTGCTTAGATGATCTTATTTACTTCCATGGTGTTAACTCCTGACTATACACTGATGTCTTCTAAATTCATATTTTTACCTAATTCCTTAACTCTTAGGATGTCTCCCGAGCAAGCCTCCTCTCTTCTTCAGTCTATTGAGCATCTCACCTGCACCAAACTGATGTCAGGAATGTCTCTCTGCCTTCACCAGACTCTGTCCCTACCTCTGTTCCTACCATGGATGGCAGCACCCTCAACCAGGAGCTCAATCCCTGAAACATGGAAAGGACTTTTCAGTGCACCTTTTGCTTAACTAAAATGTCCAACTGACTTTTATTTCTCATTATTGCTTCCCTGTTAACTTCTCTTGAATCTCCCTGCTTCTCTCTGTTCTCATTTCGACTACCCAGACTGCTGTGAGAGCTTGCCAGCTGCCTTCCTTAACAAGTATTTTCCCCACTCGATTTAATTTCAAGATTGTCTATAGAATCATCTTTCTGTAATGCTAATCAGATTAGACCTATATCTAAAATCTTTCAGTGACTTTTCCTTTCTAAGAAAAGTCTAAATTTCTAGGCCTGCCCTCAAAAGCCGCTCATGATGACGAACTCCTTGAGAGCAAGTTCACACCTTACCTGTCTTGGTAAAGTGCTGAGAGTGTATTAATGGAATAAATAAATGAGGGAACAAATTTCTGAGAAAAAGCTATCACAAAATAAGCACTCCATTAATGACAAAAGTTAGAATTAACTTTATGTCTCCTCTGTAATTACTTGAGTAGTTTTCTGTTAAATCATAAAACAAGAACAAATGTTGCACTGAAAGTTATAAAAAAGAGGCTCAGATTGAGGAATGGGGATACAATATTTTTGAACAAATGTTTTGGCGTGAAATTATTATATTAACTTTATATCTTGAAGGCTTTCATGCATCTCTCCAAATTGGTTTAGAAAGATATTGTTCATGTTTAAAACACTTCCAGCCGCAGGTTAAAATCTTTGAGCCTTAAGGATCATGATGTCTACAACTAATTTTCAAATGGTTCAGCAAAAGTAAATTATGTATATCATATATATATACACACATATATGTGTATAAATAAACATGCAGATATGCATATGCATATATGGTGAGAGAAAGAGAGAGAGAGAAAGCAAATGTGGCAAACATTAACAATTAATGAGTATAGGTAGGGGGCATATAGGTATTCATTGTATTATACTTTTAATTTTTAAAATCATTTTTATTGTTATTCTATTAGAGTTGTCTCAATTTTTCCCCCTTTGCTCTCCTCTGCCCATCCAACTCCTTGCTCCAACAGTCAATTGCCACACCGTCTTCCATGTCCATGGGTCATTCATACATGTTCTTTGTCTAGACCTTTCCCTTCTTTCCACCATTGTCCTCCTCCTCCCCTCTGGTCAGTCACTTTCAGTCTGTTCCATGTTTCCATGCTTGTGGTTCTATTTTGTTTGTTAGTTTATTTTGTTCATTAGATTCCTCTTATAGGTGAGATCATATGGTATTTGTCTTTCACCAACTGGCTTATATCAATTAGCATAATATTCTCCAGTTCCATCCATGCTGTTGCAAAAGGTAGGAGTCCCTTCTTTTTTTCTACTGTGTAGCATTCCATTGTATAAATGTACCATAGTTTTTGATTCACTCATTTACAGATGGGTACTTAGGTTGTCTCCAGCACTTAGCTATTGTGAAAAGGGCCACTATGAACATAGGGGTGCATAGGTTCTTTTGAATTCATAAGTTGGGATTCTTAGAGTTTATTTTCAGTGGCAAAATTGCTGGGTCACAAGACAGTTTCATTTTTTGTTTTTTTGAGAAAATTCCATATTGTTTTCCACAGTGGCTGCATCAGTCTGCATTCCCACCAACAGTGCATTAGGGTTCCCTTTTGTCCAAAACCACACCAGCTTTTGATGATTTATTAATAATTGGCCATTCTGACAGGTGTGAGATGATATCTCAATGTGGTACTAGCATAAGAACAGACATAGGTCAATGGAATAAAATAGGGAACCCAGAAATAAACCTCAGTCTCTGTAGTCAATTAATATTTGACAAAGGGGGCATGAGTATATAATAATAAAGATAGCCTATTCAGTAAATGGTTTTGAGAGAACTGGACTGGTACATGTAAAAAAAATGAAACTAAATCACCAACTTACACCATACACAAGAGTAAACTCAAAATGAATAAAATACTTAAATATAAGTTGTGACACCATAAAAGTCCTAGAGAAAAACATAGGCAGGAAAATTTCAGATATCCCACATAGTGATATTTTTGCTGATATGTGTCCTAGAACAAGGGAAATAAAGGAAAAACAAATAAATGGGACTATATCAAACTAAAAAGTTTCTGCAGGAATAAAGGAAACATCAACAAAATGGAAAGGGAACTGACTGTATACGTGAACATACATTTCAATGATACATTGGGCAAGGGTTTAATCTCTGAAGTACATAAAAAACTCATACAGCTCAACACCAAGAAGATAAACAATCCAATTAAAAAATGGGCAAAGGACCTGAACAGATACTTCTCCAAGGAGGACACACAGAGGGCCCATAGACATATGAAAAGATGCTCAACATCACTAGCCATCAGAGAGATGCAAATTAATTTTTTGAAGGTTTGAAAATTATCAAAAGAAAATGTTGGAAAAAACAGTTCCAACAGCAGTGTTTGAAAGCATATATTTTAAAACAATCTCAACAGCCCTAACACTATAATAAATTTGAAAAAAAAAACTTTGCTGATTCAATATAAAATGTTGTATACAATTTTATTCTTTACTTATTTAATTATAAAGATAAATGTTTTTCATATGTTTATATGAAATTTTGTTTTTCCTTTTATGAATGGTCTTCATTCAGTTTTTATAGAATGTTTATTTCTTAAGAGCCTTTCATATGTGATATAGAGTATTGATATTTTATAATATATAAACAGATAACCTTGAAACATATCATTATATAAGCATTTTATATATTATTTT